ATATATATATATATATATATATATATATATATATATATATATATGCCATGTTTGCATTATAAGACAGACTAAGATACATGATTTTTATAAGAACTTACAGCCATGAAACATCGACCCCAACCATACCAGTCATGAACAGTGCTGTTCTGAAAATTTTGTCGTTTATTTTTAACTTTATTTTCTATAAGTCTGAAAATATTTAAAAGTGATAACATTAACGACTGACTGATAAAATTTTACCTTTGTAAAAAATTGCCCTAGAAAAGTGCAGCGATCTTCCAAATTCAGTGAAATAGTACAAGTCTTTAGAAGTGTTCCTATAATAGTTATTGCAAACGATGAAAGCGAAGCTATAACAGAATTAATAAAACCACCGTAACATATTTTTCTAAGCTTAAAAGTGATAGTAGCTTTCTCTATGATACGCAAACCACGTTACAATCCATGCAACATCGTAAAATCAGTAAGAAATGAGAAATCTTGAAATATAAGAAAGTATTAACCCCAGTCATAGAACGGATCATGGTCAGGCTTATACAAGACTTTATGCTTTGTGGATATTTCTTCTCGAAATCGGCGATGGACGCTACTTAACTTGACATATTCTTGTATTTGAATGTTAAGTGTCGCAGATGAAAGGCTAAGTTTGATTAATTGTGATGCTAAAATTAAGCATTAATTTTATGGTAGACTGACTTAAAATATAAAATAGACTGCAAAATGAAATTATTTAATTTCTTCTCAAAAACATAAAATGAAAATTTCAACGTACTGCTAATATTGATTAAATTTTTTCAACTCTTATATCATTTAAATGTTATGAAATAAAAATATGCGGTCATCATAAAACCTGGAATATAGTTGAATGCTTCACACAGTAATTCAGGTGGCAACATTTCGAAAATTCCACGTGGTGTACTTACTGTTACATTTGGGATCAACTGTATGGCGTTTCTCCAAGCTGAGAGTTATTTTACTCGTTTATTGATTTTATTTAAACGATTATTTCCAAATTCTTAAATATCTGTTTTTTTGTGTCCCCAATAATTATAAAATTTGTGACATGCTTGTCTTAATATTGCAAGGACACTAAAAATCTTTGCTGAATTCAGTTCACGAACTGTATACGTAATAAGTTAATAAATAAAAGCCAGAAATTGTATTTTCGTTGACATTGTTTTGTTGCTTGCAATAAGCCGTTCCAGAAATTATTAGGCAACTTTTTTAGAAATTAATTACCACTTGAAAATGTATATTCATCACATGAAGATGCACTAGAAGAATCACTCGCCGAGAAATCTCCTACAATAAGTCATTACTTGAATGATATATTTGGTCTTATACTGAAAATATCTTTATAAATATAGCTCATCAGATTATAAATTCAACTATGAATATACCATTTTCTTTGTTATCAACTAAACTGATATCAGGAACCACTTGATCCGAAAAATTATCTTCAGCATCCTGATTTTGATTCGCCCTAGATTTTTTCCCACGGAGTAAAGAACTTTGTTGCTCACTTGATTTACGCTTACGAACAGCAAAAAAGTTCGTAATCTGACTTGCTTGCCCTTGTTCTGACTGTAAAATAAAAAGATAAAATCTAGGAGTACTAACAATCTCTTCATTCTTACAGGAATATTCAAATATTTAGAAGTATTATTTATTAATCAGCCAATTCTGCACTCATAAGCTGTTTGAAATATCTACACAAGAACCAATCATGAAAATTGATTAGCATGCATGCCAACTTATTATGGCGAAATTCCTACCTCCATCAATTAATTTTGAGTTTTTATTTTCAAAAAAATGTTGAGGAAATTTTGTTAAGAAATTATTATATAATGACGTCATTCCTATCAAATAGCGATTACTTTTAAAGCAGTTCCGAGCAAAATCTTCAATAAAGTAACCAGAAACAATAATGTTTAAATAATATGACTTCAATTTTTTTACTTGTATCATCAAGCTCGGAGATTAGTTGTACTATATTTCTGAATAGTTCTGCAGTTCTGCATTAAAGATCTCAGTGATTGAAAAACGTTTCATAAAAATCACAACAAATGGTGCTCATTATTATGATAAGAATAAAGTTTTATATCGTAAAATTTACTAATTTGGGTGAAGATGTGAAATTTTCTTGTAGTCACTTAATTCAAAATATCCAACATACAGTATTTAAAGTCTGGTTGGTCTGGTCATTGATGGAACCACTATTATTGTTTCTCTGGACACTATCATGACTACTGCCAGTCGTAAGTAAATGATATATGTTGTGGTTTGATACCTTGTGAGTACTGTTCATTGAAGAGTTTGATGTAGATATATACCTTTGAATGAGCTGCAAAAGAAAATTTGCACTGTCTAATAGTGTAATCGACTGCGAAAATAAAGTATAGATATTTATTATTATTACTATTATTATTACTATTATTACTACGATTATTGTTACGATTATTATTACGATCATAATTACTATTATAATTACTATTATTATTACCGTAATAATTATACTTTTTAATAATAATAATTATTATCA